CTCATATTTTGGTTTAAAAAACCGAAGCTTTTAAATTTGCGAAGCTTACAACTATCAAATGTTGTCGAAATTACAAGTAACTGTATTGTTGGTAATTTCATAACACTAGTCAGTCTATTTTTCTTAGGTAATGGAGAGTCGTAAACCATTTGGATTGGATATGCCGCTGTTTATTTGGAATATGGGTTTAGCGATATTTTCTTTGCTCGGATTCATTCGGATGACGCCGGAATGGGTGTGGAGCTGGAGACAGTGAGTTTCATCCGTTTAAATTTCCAAAAAGTGAGGCCAATTGCCTTGTTTGCATAGCTCGTATGGTGCTTTTCCATTATTGTACATTTTGTCGTTCTGTCGTTAGCATGGAAGTCTATGAATTTATTACAATTTCGCTTATGTTAAGTGAACTGAGGGGAGAACTTAGAAGTTGTTTCCTCCAAATATGATAAATCATTCAAAATCTACTCAGCTTACTCTCTGACTAGGAATAAACTGTGTTAAAATGTGTTGCTGCATAAACGATCATAGCGAGGTTCATCGTCAAAAGCCAAATTTGGCAAACTTTTATGTTTTTGATTAAGGACACCCAAGTTTATTCCTTTACTTGCATGAAGTAAAATAAATAGAGTAGAAACTTTACAGAAACTCGTTCGTGTATTCAGTGTGTACTGCTTCCTACGCCCAAGGTGTTACAGGTTTCTGGACCGAGCAATTTGCTATGAGCAAGGTAAGTTTTATTTTGGTCTGTTGGCTGGATGGACATAGCTATATCAAATCCTAAGGTTGCGGAGCTTTTTGACACGGCCTTCATAGTGCTTCGAAAGCGTCCTCTACTTTTCCTCCACTGGTATCATCATGTGACGGTGCTGATCTTTACATGGCATGCATACAAGGACCATACTGCTTCCGGTCAGAAACCAAATGTTTTTAAAAATTTTAAGTCGTTATGCTGTTCCTTTAGGAAGATGGTTTATCTGGATGAATTATGGCGTTCATGCCCTTATGTATACTTACTACGCTCTTCGTGCTTTGCGGTTACGCCTTCCCAAACAAATTGCCATGGTTGTTACTGTGCTACAAATATCACAAATGATTATGGGCATATATATTGGATTTACAGTTTATAAAGTGAAGGTATATATATGCTGCAGAATTATGACTTTCATGTAACAGTTTTCAATTTCAAAAAAGAAAACTTTTTTTCATTTAGTCGGCAGGTGATCAATGTCAGCAGACATGGGAAAACCTCGGTCTTTGCTTTGCAATCTACTTCACCTATTTTCTTTTGTTCTGCAATTTCTTCTACCATGCTTATTTGAAAAAGAACAATCGCTACACAGCGGGATCTAAACCTGCACCGAAGGTATGTTTGTGGCGCTCAGATTATTATTTTGTCACTGTTGACGTAGAACGAGTTGATGTCTATAAACAGTGTAATGCCTTTATCCGAGGTAGCTGAAGAGGCAAACAGGTTATGAGGCAAGTGATATATTTAATTTTTGAACTCTGCTCGCATCAGGATGTATTTATGATGTTTCGCCATGCAGTATCTACACTCAAGTAACTGGCTTTGATAGGTTATCCAGAAGGTTTCGCGTTGAGTTCAAACAAAATACTAAGTTAGGAGTAATGCACATATTAACT